ATTCCACATTCAATTTTTCAGAAACAGATGAGTGACGGTGGATTGCTCTACACTTGCATAATTCTTAATATATCATGCTCATATAGTATTGAACCCTTGAATTAAAAAACATGAATCTGCTCAAAGATCAAATCAAAGATTAATTTGTGAGGCACAATTTGACATTATGCTGCAGCGCCTTAAAATATGTAATTACTTCATAATTTGCAACCATTACAACAAATTCCCATGATAGATGGAACAGATGAGTGAGGGACAGTGAGGCATGGTTTGTGGTTGGGTATGTTAAAGGAGAACTTTAGAGAGGATTACAATTCTGTACAAATGCACTTTTATCAATGTATTCAACTAATTATTTTTCAAAATTCGGAGCATGATAAACTCTCACTGTACTACACTATTCACACTGAAATATGAAGTCATTTCCTTAGAAACACACCAATAATCTATTTTTGAGGCAAGTGTAAACCAGCTATACTTACAAAAATATAGTGTACAATTACAGTTGCACCTCAAAGCATATGACGATCTATCTGGCAATCAAACTGCCAATGTTTCATTGAAGATTCCAGGAAAATACAAAGCTAAAACTTCAAGCTTGAATCACATGTGGATGCTACCAGATATTGAAGCTATAAATAATAATACACATTGCTGCAACACAGATCGTAAGGATAATTCTATTGCTTTCTCTGCACCATGATCAGGAGATGAACTCTGTCTTCATAAATCTATGGATATTCATTTTCCTCATGCTTTCTTACCATTATGTAAAAGTAATAATGTGAAATAAAAGAAAAATTCCAATACCAAATTTGATGACTTTTCCCTGATGCAGAAGAATAAATGTGTTAAAACAGAGGCTACAATCTGACCTTTGAAAAAGAAAGAACCTTTGGGGAGGTCTTAGAGGTTGCATGTGTTTGACAGAGCCAGCCACTGAGCTGAAGTGACTTTTCCCTTCGGCCAGTCAGACGTCCATGCTTACCTCCCTATCCCACTGAGTGGAAAAGCTGTATTGGCCACAACAGCACAGCAGTACACTGTCTACACACAGCCCAGGAATCAACAGGCTTCTGCAAGCCTTTGTCCATCGTTGTGTTACAGAATACATATAACAGGGCATTCAAAAAGTCTTAACTCAGCACAATGTGAAACGGTACAGTATCACTAAAGCTGCTGCTGCAACATCTCAGCGTGTCCACAAAGGAATGCACAGATCATTGATGTCTTTGATTTAAAGTAAGCTGAGACATGCACTCTATGTGTGTGAGAAAAAAGAGAAGAGTGAAGTACAGAGAGTCAGATTGTCTCACTATGATATGATGAGAATGTTGTAAATGAACCAAGGCAACAACACTGATAACTTAATGTTGAACTAGAAGGACTTCAAATAACAGATTCGGTGGTCAGACCAGAGAAAATCTAACTTGATGCCTCCACCAGTGAGTGGGCTGCTGGGTTACGTCAAGCTTATTGCACTCTTACAAAGCAGACTCTCAGCATGAGCACTTGTTAACGCTAAACTCAAAAGGTTCATTAGACTGAAAGAATGATATTAAAATCTTCAAATGACTCCACAGCCGGGGATATTAAGTCCATTCACAGCACTGCAATACCCCAGTGACTGAGTGGGACTGGGCTGAAATGTGATTAATTAAGTCGATATTTCAATTAAAATGTTTACATTCGGGAATACAGATCAAAACTTAATCGAACATAAGTAAGTGGCTGTGGTTGCAGTTTCTGCATCAAACCACTGCCAATTACAGGTTCTCTTGGCCTCCAGACTGTTGGTTATACTGTTTATCTGGTGACTAACACACATGGTTCAAAAAGCTGAATTAAATTAAAAACAGATATTTTCTAAAGAAGAGTTAGATGAGAAGTTTATGTGGTTTTATGTGCTCAACTTTCTGCACAGTGACTTCCTAAACTTGTTGTCAGGATGAGGTTGCCAGGCAACCAGTGGAGACTCCAGGCAGATTTTGTTACCTTTGGACAGAGCCAGGCTAGGCTTTAACCCCCGTTTCCCTTCTTTATACTGAGCTAAGCTAAGCGTGTGCATCTTGAACAAAAGTGGAATTGATTTAAACTACTGAACAACAAAGTGTATTTCCCAAAATGTCCAACCCTCCTTTTAACTGGGTTTAGAGTGAATGCATGGAATAACGGTATAGAACAATAACCTCTTGTTCTCCCTATAAAAGCACAAGTACATCACTATTAGACAAAAGAAGAGACTTACTGGCTGCCTGAATACGGGCTTTGCGGCTCACCACCAGCCCAAAAGAATTCTGGGCCACACACTCGTAGTCGCCCTCGTCAGATGAGCCATCGGATTTCGTCTTCTGGAAGTGGCCAATCAGGAGTGAGCCATTGATGAAGGTGGTGTGATGCTGATCCTGAGTTAAAAGCAGGCCGTTTTGCCTCCACTGTGTCGTAATTGGGGGGATGCCGTTCACCTGGCAGTGTAGCATGAGGGGCTGCTCCTGTACAGCGATAATGTCACTGGGCTCCAGTGTGAAGGAGAGCTCCGCTTCGCACATCACACCTGAAGACACACACACACACACATAAATGAACCTGAAAGCCCATTATTTACATAATCATCCATTTTTCATCTAGTAGTTTTTCTCAGCAGATGGAGTTTGCTAAGTATGATCAAACTCCTTTAAAGCTGCGGAAAAAGCTGGATTTTTTTTTTCTTTTCTCTATAGAAGCGCCCTCCTGGATTAGGGGTTAAGATGCCGACCATGACCCAAATCATACCTGGTTTGGCTGAGGACTTGTGTTGCTCATCTCGCTATCTCTCCCTCATTTCATGCCATCTCTCTCCACTGTCACTCTCCGATAAAAGCAGAAATAACCCCCCATATGAATATAAGCAAAGTATATTAGACTGCAAGATTACTAGCATAGTTTTGTTGCAAGATCTGAGGTTGAGTGAAGGAACGTATGCAGGAGCCAGACCAAGGAGTGCTTTAAAATGAATGAGTAAAATATTGAAGAACCAGTGTACAGGATTTAGTGGCATCTAGCAGTGTAGTTGCAGCTTTTAACCCCCTTGGCTCACCCGCCAGTTCCAAGCGTGTAGAAGAAAGCACAGTAGCCGCAAAACGTGGAAGGCCCAATCTAAAGCCAGTGTTTAGTTTGTTTGTTCTGGGCTACTGTAGAAATAAGGTGGTTCTACATGGTGGCTGTCGTGTAATAGGACCTTCTCCCTCCCTAAGTGTTAAGTCTTTAAAAAACAATTCATCATCTGTAGGCCACTGTAAAGAGGCTAAAATAGGGTTTATGCTATCTCTATTTGTTCTCATTAGGCTGTAGTGTTTGCCGGATGCATCCTGTCTGTCTTTTATCTTAATTATTTTACTTATAACACAAGTTATTGAAGCTGTTCTATTAATTCCTTTACCATACCTTCTTATTACTATCCATGGTCATAAGGTTTTGCAACAGTTGTGGCCTAAATAATATATTCACCAATCAGCCATAACATTATGACCACCAGGATGCCCAGGTGGTCATAATGTTATGTACACGGGCCAGCATTCGCTCCCCACGTGCATCAATGAGCCTTGGCTGCCCATGACCCTGTCTCTGATTCACTGCTTTTCCTTCCTTGGACCACTTTTGATAGGTACTGACCACTGCAGACCGGGAAAGCCCCACAAGAGCTGC